ACACGGGAAACGACAGCGGAATGATTGCGCGACATGATTATTGCGTGTGACCAAAAGAAAGACGAGAGAGAAAAAAAGTGGGGAGGGGAGTGCACACCCAACGAACTTTTTTACAATTCGGTGCCCATAAGGACAGCAAGCCATCCAAGCATGCGCAGGCTGGGGCGTGGACGCGACTTACGGAACGAACGTCATCCACCCTTGGAGTGAGAGCATAGGAGGCTTTTCCTATTCAGTTGAGGAAGTCATGTAGCAATTGGGGATCCGACCGGCCGGGACAGAGCCGAGATAGGGGACAAGCAACGCGCGCGCATTGATGAACAGCGGAGATTTTGTAAGCGTGATTATGTGAGGCTTATTAAAGAGCGTGATGTCATGTTGTGTTATCGATTCTTCGACATGAACGTGTGAAGGTGTTCCGCGCGTTAAAAGTCCTTGGACGACAGTGATACTTCCTTTCCATACTCATGAACCCGTGCCCTGCTTTCATGCTATCTTCGTAATAAGCCGTTGCCGACGAGGGAAGACGTGAGACTGCGAACTCGGCATCTTCCGGAAAAACATCAAAATCTAGTGCGCATGTATTCCGTCCTGTTTTTTAGTTTGTCACGCGGATGTAGTTATATCCAGCCTTTTCACCTTTATCATTCTGTGCATTAGCCAGCGAGGCGACCGACTTCCACCCTTCTGTCATATGAGTAGCGCTATGGCGCTTACCCAAGCTGCCTCGCCACTGGCGCATTCTGTCAGCAGAGTGAGCGCATTCGTTCATCAAACATATGTTGCGCTGGCAGAACATGTGCTGATCCGTTTGACGGCAAAGACAACACAGTAGCCAATTTGATGCTTTACGGGCCGTGGTAGCGCTTCAGTACTCGCGCTACCGTCCACTTGGTCCGTCTCTCTGGTCACATCTTCATCATCATTCAAGGAGTATGAAGAATGGGGCTCACAATGAGTCTGGCCTGGATAAGCAAGCGCATCACACTCAGCGTCGATACTAGGACGTCCGACGAGGTGAGTGGGTGTTCAAAGGTACCGACGTAAACCGCCGTGTGCATTGACTACGTGCCCAAAAATCGATGCACGATTGACGACTTTGCGCACATTCTCGACGACGCACCGTTCCGTGGCCGTGGGGCAAGTGCCACCACCATGTTGTGAACGACTTGTCGCACACTTGCACCCTTTCCGGTGACCTTCTGTTGTGCTGAAATACGAGTGTGAATTTTTAGGAAGTCGCCTACGAACCGTTCGCGACGACCCAACTAGGCCTCGCTCCAGGCTCGGCAACGGACAGCAGCAGTTGGTTTATCCCCTGGCATTCATCGAAAATCCCGGCTCCAAGCATTCGCGGAACTGTCATCACGCAGGGCGCTCCTGAGGCACACCATCATCTGATTATGCGAAGGGGCGAATGTTGGTTTGAGGCAGCGTCGTCAACTACAATTTTGTACGCTTGAAGCATGTAGTTCAGATGCTGTCGGATGCAGTATTCGACCTACGGCCGAAGGCGTTCCAACTGTGGTTTTGAAAAGTAATTGGGGTTCAAATTTACGCCAGCCCTCGTGAGAGAGCGTAAGTGAATTACGAGTCCATATCTGCCATCGATACCATTTGAGAGTGAGTTCCAGGCTCCCGTTCTACCGGGGAGGCATATTATATCCCGCCCCGCTATGAAGCTAAGCCAGTGCCGCAGAGCCAAAAGAAAAAAAAAAAGAAAAAGTTGTGGTTGTTGTGCGCCATTAGTATGCGGCGCTGGGAACCTACCCATGGTCTAAATGTACATGACCGACGGGCATGTCATGCATCACTCACGCCTCAAGTCTTTGACTCTCTGTCATGGTCTCGCGCATCCATCGATATGTACCACTGCTGTGAGCTTCTGGTTTTCAGGGTAACAGAGTGCAATTCAAAGTTTATTTATTCCCTCACGTGCGGGTGCATGCGAGATGAGCATATCGATGAGGGCTGCGTTCTGCAGCGATTCCATGTGCACAGGGAGGAGGTGGACGACAATACATACGCAGCATTCCACGACCTACGGCGACATTGCAGAGTCGCAACCAAAAGGGTAATACCCCCGCATACAACAGAGATACGCAAAAGTTTCCCGCTGCGTGTGACCAACATACATCGTCTCGAGCGCAATGTGTTTCGTGGAGGGTCGTCGTGCAGGTTGCCTAATGTGATTATGAATGATTGACAGCAATGACTGAGGGATGAGTGCATGAACTGTTATTACTTCTTTCTACTGTACTGTTTTACTCCTTTGAGCTCTACTACACTACGCTGGGTAGATAGACACAAACCCCCAGCATTTGCAGGAGTAGTAGCCGTTTTACATTCCCATCGCCCACTGTTCCCTGGTCCCCGTTTGTGTGTGTTGTGTACTGGACTGCCTCCGAACACGAAAAACGTTGAATTTATATCACACCTCTCGGGGGCATTGAACACTCACAAACTTCACACTCACAATACCTATAAAAAAAGTAATCCTCATTCTTCAGCTCTCTGTCTCTTCCTTTCCTCCGTCCTACTGATAGATTTGAGATAGATAGATACTATCACGCATCATACCCGTAACGTTTCGAGATAAGGAGACCCAATTTCGACTAGCCTACTGCCGACTTTTAAGTAGGTAGTAGTTGCGAGAATGCCCGGAATCATTCTCAAGATCGCTGGATATGAGGATTCCGCCTTTTCCCCTTTTGCTCAACTCGACAATGGCGACGACCTCGCCAGAGCTTGGAAAACCTGCACAAAGGTGAGGCCTCATTGGTATTATTTTGCATTAGTCAACGCTGACCGTAACATCTCACTCAGGTAAAGGATACGCTGGAGAACGGGAATCGCTTTGAGAACTTGTCCTGGAGACTATGGCATCTTCACCAGGTGCTCTACAAGTCCCAAAAAGCCTGCAACAGCCAGTTCAGAAAAATATCCACAAAAGCTACAAAGAAGCTGGAAGAGGCTGATGCCCGCAACAGAATCCATAAAGGCCGCCAGCAATCTCCGCTGTTTCCTTCCAACTCCTTCCACTCTCCCTCTTCTGTTGACGACTTCGCCGCCAGCTCTGTGATGACCATACCTGATGATGCCGTCGTCATCCCTGTCGAATCCGTACTACCGCATACAAGTCAAATATATGTCGACCCCTGCCACCTGCAACTCTCAGCGCAGGGACAGCAACGAAATGATCTAGAGGGATGGACTACGTCTGAACTCGAAAGGATTTTTGCTACCGACTCGTGTCTTTCGTCGTCATCATTTAATTACTCCGAGCCGCTCCTGAACTTCGATGCATCATGCCCAGGCACAACACCATCTCTTGAAGCGTACCCAGCTCCTTTTTACTCAGAATGGATGGCTGCAAATGGATTTTCGTCCGATAACCTACCTTCTCTGATGGACTTTGATAGTTGTACTCCCTCTGAAGCACTGTATGGCTTGAATGACGCCAATACCGCTCCTACTGCGGCTGCTCCGACCGTTTTTTCCTATTACCAACAACCTGCTACCCCTGCCCTGCGCAGTGCCCAGCAAGTATCGCAACAACTAGCACAATCGCAGCCGCAAACTACTGCTGAAGCGTCGTTAAAATCAGTACAGCCATCACTACCACAAAAACAAAAGCAGCAGGTTCAAGCATCACAGCAGCAGCGGCCGGCACGGGAGGAACAGGTACAACAACAACAACAGCAACAATCACGACCCCAACCGACACGTGCCCGCGCCCGTCCTCGCCCCGCTAAACTTCCTGTCCCTACTCCCCCTGCGCCTCGCCATCGCTCCACTCTTTCATCCACAACCGCATCCAACTCTGCCACCAGCAGTAACAGTGCTACCAGCACCAACGCCGCCGGTAATCCGCTCTGTTGCGAGAACTGCCACACGACTACCACTCCCCTCTGGCGCCGCAGCGCCGCCGACGAGCTCCTATGCAATGCATGTGGGTTATACTTGCGTTTGCACCATACGCATCGACCAAAGTCCCTCAAAAACCCGTCGGCAGAGAGCAATGCGCCCCTCGTGCCCGCTGAATGCGCCAATTGCAAAACCAGCGTTACGCCCTTGTGGAGACGCGATGGCGAGGGTCGTACACTGTGTAACGCGTGCGGGTTGTATTCCAAGCTGCACGGGTGTATGCGGCCCGTGAGTTTACGAGCGGATGTGGTGAGGAAACGGCAGAGATTCGAGGGGCGGAAAAGGATGAGAGACGATGAGGAGTTAACAACAACGGTGGCAAGTAGTGGTGGAGGTGGGCTTGTCACTGCTACTGCTGCTGCGACTCCCACAAGTTCGAATACTTCTACACCTGCCACCCCTGGTGCAGCAACAACGACATTGGCCGCCCTAACGGATCCTGCTGGTGCTACTCCGCCCACCCACCTCACCTACGCACATACGTTTCCCCACTCCACCACGATGTACCAACACCTTCAACAACATCATCCCATGCTCATCCCGCACCCCGGCGTCGTCAACGGCATTGTTGTTGATTCTAACAGTGTCAGTGCCGGTGGCGCTGTGTCTGGCGGTGGTACGGCCCCGCCAAACCCTCAGATGATGAATTTGAATCTGCCACAGGGGTTTTTCGGCGGCATGATGTGGATGTGATGTGATGACAAAGCGCTTTCCTTATCGTCTCTGTGTGTTTGTGTGGTAGCCTTTGCTACCACATTTATCCCAACCCCTCTCGCCCTATGGGATGAGAGTGATGATGTTTAGAATAGAAAAAAACAGTTCTTTTACGTCCGTGTCCAGGTTGCGTTTCTGACGAGAAGGTCCTTTAACCTTCGTAATATCCATAGGCAATATGTATACAGTAACACACAGTTTTTTATTATATGTTCATTCCGACATACGCACCACCTTTGTCAATACTCGTGAACTGGTTAATTTTCACACCAAGGACAGTAAACATTTTGTCACCTCGAATCGAACTCGCCAATTTGTTATGTTTGATGGTTATTTCCCGCCGGAGCTCTTCAACAGGAGCACGTATAGTGTAGTGGTCAACATACTCGCCTTCCAAGCGAGTGGCCCCGGTTCGAGCCCGGGTACGTGCACTTTTGCTTTTACTCTTGAATGTTTTCCACCGGACTCCAAACCAAAGCACCATTGCCTTTTGGGCTTTTGGGAAGCATTGACAGAACAACTGACTGCGTAAATTACGGCTTTAAAACTTGAGTTGAACTCTTGATTCACCTCACTCAGGAGAACACTTCCTTGAAGCGTCTACTGAGAGATAGCGATGGCCGCCGATTGGACTATGCATATGCATTATGATCCCTGTTTCCCAGATGGCGAGTCGATGGGCGTGTAAATATGGATTTGAAGAACAACAGAGCGCGCAAAGAATCACAAAAGGCGAAACACATTTGTGATGGACAAAAGTGCACGTACCCGGGCTCGAACCGGGGCCACTCGCTTGGAAGGCGAGTATGTTGACCACTACACTATACGTGCTCTTGTTCTGCTGCGTCTTTTCGCCACAGACACATTCACATACATTTGAACCGATTCGGTTTTTTGACGAACTTGGCGGGATAGCACTAGTTTTAGCTGATGGAGTTCGAGGTCCAGAACTTGGTATCGAACAGTCCAAAGTCGAGTTCAACGCAAATTAGTAAGAAGGTTTTTTAAACAGACACATAACCTGGTGGAAATGAACGGGAATGGTGCGTCACGCATGGCCCATGGAAAAGCAAATCTCACGCTCTTCACTTACCTTTCCGTTCATTTTGCTGATGAACGACATCGAAGTCCCAATTGTGCACTAGTGAAAATATATTTGCGAGAGACGGTCAGTGTATCTTCTGCCTTTTCCCCTGCAACCAGCCTGGCCGAGCGGGGAGCAAAAAATGCAAAAGTGCACGTACCCGGGCTCGAACCGGGGCCACTCGCTTGGAAGGCGAGTATGTTAACCACTACACTATACGTGCTGTTGTTGAAGCGAGAGGGCACGCCGAGATAGGACGTATAACATCTCAGCGGTAAGGTTCTGTGTAGCTGTGGTATACCTGGAACTCTTTGCTGCAAGCAACATTATGAGGCACTTTCCGCATCGTGGGAGGGTAATGCCGATGGGCTAGTGGTTGCTTATTGGCGGCGTTCAAGTGATGGAGATCTAGAGGGATGGCCGGAAGCATGGCAAGCGTACATGGAACGGCCGAGTTATGACTTTTCCTCCATCAAAGGGGAATGCACTGTTCGGCCTGGCCTTGTACTTGTAATGGTGGCTGAAGGATTTGAGAGTTACCTGTATGCTTTGCTTCATCTTTGAGTTATCTGAAATCCTACCCAAGATCAAGAAGAGACTAAAAATTGTGAAGAACCTTCCCCGCCGAATGATATTTACAGCCACTCATATTCATCACGGATTCGGCCATTATCTCTCGTCGAAACACTGTTCTAGAGTCTTCTCAATACATCACGGAGCAGTTACCGACTTCCCGCCCTACAACATAATATCAACGAGTATCAACAACCCCGGAAAAAACGCGTGGTGGCTGTCTAGCGAAGAACGCCCCCAACGAGCAAACCACCGTCAGTCCGTCAAATATAAAATGAGCATGCCCCGTTCACCCTCCTCGACCCAATCATCAGCAGCGAGACCCCAGCACAGAGGATCAACTCATAGAAGAGAAACCAAAGAGACGACCCCTCAAAGGGCCCACAGCAGCGTTCCTTTTTCCGACGGTCCTCTCTTTGCGTTTTTCTTTCTATCTGTTACCTGCGGTTGGGGGCCAATGCCGCTTTGCCTTTGCAAAACACAAAGGGTTCGGGTCTATGAGGTCATATCTAATCCTAGCCTGTCCATCTGAAAACCGTCGCTCGTAACGGTTGGGGTAGAACATGCTAGGGTAAGGTTTGACTTCACTGACGGATGCACCCTTTAGGAGAATAATATAATGGTAAACGTCAAACACCACATCGCGAAGTGCGTAGATTCGTGTATTGGGAAGTTGGGAGTTGCAATTAGTTAGATGCCAATGTCCATGTTTTTTGTCGGACTCAAATCAGCGAGCAAACATGCCAAATCTTGGCGCTCACATCCAGCCAGATTCACTCCCCGCAGTTGAAAGACACATCTTGTCATTCAATTTTCGACACCGGACTGATTGAGTTCCAGCCATTCAGGATGCCGTCTCTTCAACTGGCTGAAATGTAAATGAGAATATTGTATGAGGTGAACGCAGACTCCGTACATGACCCGGCACAGGGAATTTCAAAGTGATGGGGCGAGATATACTAACGTAATCTGGATTGGCACAGTCATCGCCGAAGGGAAGCGGCCTTTTTGCTGTTGTGGAACAAATCGCATGTGCATGTTAACCGTCTTGGCCCTGATTGAACGGCAAATAGCTGATTTGAACGGTAAACCCTCAACAGCGGCACGTATAGTGTAGTGGTTAACATACTCGCCTTCCAAGCGAGTGGCCCCGGTTCGAGCCCGGGTACGTGCACTTTTGCTTCTGGCCACACCCGTATTTCTTTTGCTGACTAGTGAGCGGCATTGAATTCAACCAGCTGAAGCTACAAGGCTTTTAACTGTTATATTAACACTCTACGCCAGTCTATGTACACATATGCAGGCTCTAAAAACCCTCCACATATGTCCTTACGTCCGCTTGCAACTCTTATTTACAACCGTTCGTCACTTGCAATCACTGGTTGCCTGACACAAAGTCTGTTCCGTTGACCAAATCTAAGCCCAATCCTAACTCCAAGTTTAGGTGCGCCAATGGCTCATCGTTTCCTAAAATACTAGACTCGGCCATGATGAGCGGCGTGCCGCCGGACTGGCCTTCCTGCGAACTTTGCTGACCGCATTCCGGCGAGGAACGGAACGTTGAGCTGGAAACGTAGGCTCCATCGGAGCCTGCTGCTGGCGAAGACGACTCTGCTGAAATCGTCGAAATGTTAACGTTCATGTTTGGCTCGAGGTTCATATTGAGCATCAGGTCGTCATACTGCGAATTTGTCATCCGCAGTTGCATTGTACTCAGGTCATCGAATAACGATGACACAGTTGATGACGGTGGTTGTGAGGAGCTGGCGTAAGATGGGAAAATGTCCGAAAAACTGTCTGCTGAATGCTGCTGCTGCATGTCGTTAGTGTGATTGTCTTCTCTATTACAGGCGATGTGCCTTTGAGTCGATTGGAAACCATTTGGCATGTCCGTTGCCTTGTAGCCTCGAGGTGAAACAGATGCGCGCTTGTTCATTATCGAGGCGTCTCCCGTATCCGGCTGAAGTTGAGTGTGTGCCTGTACCAGTTCTGATGGTTGGCTCCAGCTCATGTCGTGCTGGTGAGTAACTTGCGTCACAGGAACCATGCGTTGATGATGATACTGTTGCACTTGGCGGTGATATAACTTCTGTTGGTGCTCTTTCTGCTGCTCATTGACCGTTGAAGCCTGATGGCTCATGTAATATGCTTGTAAAAACGGCATATCCTGGTGCCGATTTTCGCAATGACTTGTCGATTGAGAATGCGTACGGGAATTGGCTGGTGCGGAATAGGTGGGAGCCATAAAGAATTGGTTCGAGGCAGTTGCTGTTGATCTTTGTGTCGGTGCTATTTGGCCGGAGGAAGTAACGATCACCGGAGTGTAACCAGGAATTACTGGAAGGGAGCTCAGGTGTGCATGTCGGATCGTATGTTTCGGCTGCGGCGCTGACATCGGCTCCGGTGTGGGAACAGCGACAGGTGCCGGCACAGGAGCAGTAGGAGCAGTTTTCTTGGACTTTTTCCCACTTCGCTTAGGCCGCGGTGACGGGGATGGTACTTCGCTTGAGCTTGTGCTGCTGTTACTCAAGCGTCTCGCCATACTCTGTGGCTGCTTAATTTTCCGCCCTGCCGGTGACACTAAGGTGCTCATACCAGTGCCTGCGCCGGCGTGGTTGGCTCTTGGAGGTAAGCTTGGCGTAGGAGGGTCAGATAAATGCTCAACATCCGGGTCTGCAGTGTGTGCCTGAATATTCAGAGGTGGTTTCTTGGACATTCCATTTGTGACAGAAGCTTCCGAAGCTTGTGCCCCGACTGGACGATACGACCATGAATTATAGCCAGGAATGGTTCCCATTTTGCCAAATTGTGAGCAAAAAGCGTTAACGTTGTGTCCTCTGCGAAGTCAATACCATTAGTCGCATGACGCCAGTAGTCAATCTCACTAAAATCTTCAATACTCACAAGTAAACCAAAACAAAGCTCTCATCTTGTAAAGTCTTTTCTCTTCCAGTAGGCGTAGAGAAATTCAGCTTACTGTGAAATAGACAATGCGGGTAGCCTAGGACCCTTAGGAACCAGTTATGCCCAAAGTCCACTTTGAGGAGACACATTGCACTCGTTATCTCGCCATCCAAAAATTTCTTTTCCGTAGTGAGGAACCATTTACTCTGCTTCGAACTACCGTCAATCTCGGTCCCTTGCGGAGGAGAAACCCAGACGTGGCCGTGCCAGGGGTGCTTCAGCCCGTCGGATGCTTCATCGTAAATATGTTCCGCGAGGCGATTATCATGAAGATTGTTCGCGAAATGGCATGAGGCCGGGTCCAAGTCAAAGCGCAATCCTGAAATCACATGCTTTGCCGACATAATCAGGTCTTTAGGTGTATAGAGCTCATTGTTGAGATCTGTAAAAGCAATGCCCGTTTCTACATACCAAGTTAATTGCCGTCCGATGAGACCAACATTCAACATTACAGCTTACCATATTTGACAGTCATCGCCACCACATGCTCTTCTGTAATTGTCTGCCCACTTTCGCATACTTGTTTCCAAATGTATCTACGCACATCCGCCGGAAATTTATGAAGCGAACGGATATGGGATATATTGACCGGCACGGGAAGTGTGGAATCTTCAACTAACGATTCGTAAACAGATCTACGAAAAATTATTATCAGTGATGAAATGATTGGCTTGTCAGCGATGCTCACTTACGCCGAGCAGAGGTAGGTGTTGGTGGTACGACGACTGAACGCAAACTTATTCTTTGCGTAGGTATAAATAGATCTGTCAGGCACTGGAGCCAGTATCAACGGTAAGAGCTTCGTGGGAA